ATGATTTTTAACACATGGTGGTCAAATAACCACAAACATTTCTTTATTGTTGAGAAGGCATTAACTATTCTGATAAAATGTACTTTTTTATATCATAAATACTTACATGTATTCTTGGAAAGTACTGACGTCATCCATTTGAGTGTAAAAGATGAGCTATGCTAACTGAGTATATGCCAAGAAAATAATGAAGAACATAATGGCAAATCCAGAGAGGTCTATTGGTGAGAGCTGACTTATGGTTCTGCTAACACTAATGAATCTGAAGAGCTGTAAGAGAGAGAGGTACAATTATTAGCAGATGAAAGGATAATAGGATCTAAATGTACACTTGAATATTATCCTATCATAACAGGAATGGATGTGACATCTGAAAACATTATGCTAAGTGATATTCATCCATCCATATATATCACATATATAAATCACACACATACACACACACACACACAAACATGCACACACATACACATACACACACCACAAAAATGCCAAATGCTGCATGATTTTATAGAAGCATTTAAAATAATAAAATTCAGACACAGTAAAGACTAACTTATTTTTCCCTCTTACACAATTTATTAACTTCTATCCTCTCGTTCAGAAAGTATTTTTTGACTACCTACCCTTGTAAGGCACTGTTCTCAGAATCTCAGTTCTCTGTAAATTTCCTTCTGGCTTCCCCCAGGAAAGAGGTGATGATCTGTTTAGCCTACATTTCCAGGTAGAGCATCTGTCCCTTTCCTTGAACCTCAATTTTTCTTTGAGTTCCCTTCCCTCACCTGCTCATCAAGTGAAGTTAGCCCCTCCTCTATGTTTAAGATTCCAGGCCTAGAGAACATATTAAGAAGTCCTATTACCACATGCGTTAAACAAAATCAATAGGGTTAGATACAACAAAAATTCAGTAAGCAAAAAGTAGCCTCATTTATAGTGAGAGGAATGGTCAGAGAAGTCCCACTAGCATAGCTAGATGGCCACCTTTTGTTCGACTTGGAAAGGAAAAGAAAAATGCTAAAAATATGGATTATATAATATATAAATTACTTTAATGAGACCAAAAAATATTAGTGACAGCAGCTATATTGTTGAACTGCACTGCCAGTATGCCAGATGCTCAAAGATGGGGAAAGGACTTTGATTATCCATAATATCCCTCCATATTTAATGTCTCATATATCTTAATATACAACTACCACTGACAGGCAGAAAAAGAAGCATTTTATTACAGTGCCTTAAAAATATAAATTTGGGGTAAAAAGACCCCAAAGTAGCCAGTTTCTTGGCTAAAAGTCAAAATGTCTTTGGGACTTAGCAACATACTCTGTTCCAAAGGCCAAAAATGTCAAAAGTATTTGGGAGCTTGTATCTAATCTTTAAAAGATTTTAGGGTTACCTCTTCAGAGGGGGGAATGTTGGAGTAGCCAAAAGCCCCACAAAAATAAATAAACCAAAGAAGAAGAGTACATGAAGTTATCAGAAAAAAA